AACTTTGGAATATTACTAATTTTGTGATGCTCTTTCAAGCTGTGATGAAATTTTTGTCTAGATCAAAATTTAGTCTATAATGCAAATGGTCCATTATATCAAGTATTACGCTTACTTATATTACCTACTTAGCCTAGACTATTTATCTTTACAACAATAGTGATATTATTTTCCCAACTATGTTTATACTAACCCACCCTGTCAACTTTCCCTCCCACAGAGAAAACGGGAGCGTCACAAGTCGAACCCACCATCTCAGAGGTGTACCCTGTTCAAGTTCAAAACTGTTCTCCAATAAGGGCAATTACATATTGGTACGTGCGGAACGGCTGAAATTTCAAATGCAAATTTTATACATTTTTTCAGACCTAACCAGGGGCAGTTGCGAGAAATGTAATTTAATTACAATATTTACCCGCAAGTTCATGTATATACAGTATACTAAGGTGATACCAGTGTATGGTTTATGGGTAATATCAGGATTGTATTTCACTCGATAGAACTGCTGTATAGTAAGGTATGGGTCTTACTGTACCTCTAGAGAGAACGGTTTAGAACTGGCATAGCTATCCAGGATAAGTGGGGTAAGTTTAGTTTTGGGTTTCCTCCTGTAGTAACACTGGATGTAACCGATAATCTATCGTGGTTGTAAAGTCATTGTATGTATACAATGGCTTTACAACTGCAATAGATTATTGGTTACAACGTCGGGAACGCGAACGAAATTTCTACACTGGTGGAAATTTCAATCCAATGTAGACGTGTAGCCAAAATTAACATCGTTACCTCTGATAGCCTTGATCTTGCTCGGATCCAATGATTCCTTCCCCCGAGTTCCTCTCACATTTGAAGCCGCCATCTCTTCACGTGTGAACAACGCTTCGGTCAAAGCCAGAGCTAACTTAACAGGATTCAATCCGTAGTTTTCGCATTTTGTGATAATCTTAGGATCGCCACTAAACCACGCTCGACCATTGACATCGTTAGGATCGCCTAGCCAACATCCTGTGCCGGGAGGGTGATCGTCTAAATAGAGTTGAACACCTTAAGTTCGTTTTGTTTCTTTAAAACAAGAGCTTGCGACAACTGCAAACCAGGGCTGTAGCGATCGGGGTGTGTGGGGTGTAACACAACACCCCCCCCCCCCCACGCCAATATTTGTCCATGAGTAATTTCAGGTAGGTAGGGGTGATTTGAGCAGATTTTCTGGAAAATTATAAGAGCAAATGTGGAAGTGAAATGCAAGCTAAAAATGCAAAATTTTAGTTGCATTTCCGGGCTGTCTGAGAGTCTAAAATATTCATTTTTTCTCGGGGAAGCATAGCCCTGAAACACCCTAATAGATGTAGTGTAAAATGGAACGTAAATTAAAAAGTCAGGTAATTTGGCTATCGTTCCATGTTTCGCGCACCAATATAGGTTAGGGGTTAGGTTTTAGTTTAGGGTGTGTATATATGTATATGGAGGTATCCAGTTGACTTTGCAGTACACTATAATATCCATTACATAACGTTTACTATATTGGTGCGCGAAACATGGAACGATTACCGGTAATTTAACCCCACCCCCCAAAGTTTTCGCTGCATCCCTGCTGCAAACATTCATTGGAAACACAGCCAGATATGGAGTTAACCAGCTTAGGTTTATGACCGTACTACTACTGCTACACACGTAAGAATGCCCCCAACACACAACCACCCTTCCTCTCTGAGTCCCCCGAGAATCCGCCACTGACCACAATTCACCTGCAGTAAGAGAAGAATTATCACAGTTCCAGTTGACTTTCGGCGGTGTCTTGACCGTAGTCGTGTTTATATCACTCAATCCATTCTCCGACTCCGTCAATGACGTATTCATCGCAAGATCATCATTCCGGATCTGAGAGCCTTCCCAGTTTCCCATGATGCTTTGCTGGGGTACTTGTGTGACGTAATCGCTTGGTGCAAGGTTGGCGGTCGATACTCCTTGATACTGAGTTGTTAGCTGTGCTCGAGTGTCGACTGGGCTCGAGTCTCTGGATTTCTGTATGAAATATACGTTGTCTAAGGGCCTGTTCATATGGGCAGTAAGTTTACAAGATATCGCCTTTACGAGATCTCGCCTTGGTATGAAAATAATATGAAAAGTTACACTGCGTTCATATGAGACAAAAAGTTTTCCCGTGTACCGAGATCTCGCTTGTTGACAGGCGAGATCTCGGTGACCGGGATAATGTTTTTCCCATATAGGAACACGGGGATAACTTTCTGTCGTGTCAGCAACTTTTCAATTCAGTTGATATTCAGTGCCACGTCACAGCCGAAAACTTTACCCGGTAAGCGGGATAAAGTTTCTCCATATGAACAGAACAAAAGTATTTGGCTAGTCGAAAAGTTTTCTCGTTAACCGGGATAACTTTTGCCCATATGAACAGGCCCTAAGCCGAGAAAATCAAAGCTAAAGTTTATGTAAATGAGCGTGACTTTCCTTTGTGAAAAATGCAACTATCTGGCCTCTCGCAGGAATTGAACCTGCCGCCCAGAGATTTTCCCATCAACAAATCCCTTTAGCTGATTTTTTTTAACCAAAAGCATGAAAATAAGTTGCCACACCCAGGGTATTTTTGGACAGCCAGTTTTGACAGCCTGCCTAAAAACCTGTTATATTCAGGGTTGGTAGGTTTGCTGAATAATTAGGGACCAGTCATAAAGTAACTGCTAGGGTGGGCCGGAGGGAAAATAGGTTTTCCAAAAAAAACTCGGTGGCCCATCCTGAGAACCTAGAAAAAATTTGAAAGCCCATCGTAGGTCATTGGAAAAATTTCATGACCCATCCTGCTATACATGAATATGTACAGTATAGCAGTCAGTTTGACGATGCACTGACTTGAGAGTCACTTTCTCATAACTTATGGCCCATCTTCATGGCCCACCCAAACTGATGAAAATAATTTCATGGCCCATCCTTATTTCCCCCGGCCCATCTTAGCAGTTACTTTATGACTGGTCCCTTAGGCCAAACACCGTCACACTAGGCCTTTGTATTCTTTGTCTTGGCCTTTTGTTTTCTTTGTTTTCTAAACGGCACTAATGACGATTTGGCCTAATTATTAATCTAACTTACCAACCCTGGTTATATTCTCGATAGCATAACTTTACCTTCTCTTGACAAGATGTGGTAACGACCTGTGGTGAGCTGGCATCAGCGAACGCACCAATCATGTTACACAGTTTCGTCACCATATCTTCAACTCTGTGAATCCGTTCTGAATTATTTTTCAGCAATTCGTGAATTTGCCTCTGTATTCAATGAAATAAAATGGAAATTTAAGGGACTTCGCCACTTTGGGAGCACCATTTGAGTGCTCCCGTGCTCAAAGTCCCCCCCCCCCCCCTGTCAGCAGCACTGAATATAGAATATGTTATATATAGAATATAGGTATTGCAACTTACCAACGAGATGCTTTCAGAACCAGCATCAGTCTGTGTATACATATCTAACATCAGACACGTGTGACGTGAGCACTTTGACTGAAATTAAAATAAATACATCTCACAAGATAGGTTATTCTTAATAAATCACATTGTATAGCATACATCATTAAAATATATTTTACTAATTTAATACAATCCAATGTTTAAAATAACAACAAGAAACCATTCTATTTAATGGAAAATAAATAATGAAGAACTGTTATTCTTCTAAAACATGAAAGTGCACAGATTTAATGGGGAAAAGTAAAACCAAAGAGATGAACGTTTCAAACATTTAGCAATTTTTACATATTATTTATTGAACTGTTGATTAAAATACATTACAAAAGCTTAAGTTTAATTGTACAGAGTTCTTTGCGAATGAGGGTAAACTATTTTACAGGAATAAAAAATGGTGAACGATTTTTAAGTACTGTTTGTAAAAACTTCAATATGAAACAAATTTGTTCTATCTACAGCAAAGAAAATAGTTCTCTTTTCCACTACAAGAAACTATTTGCATTATCGTCCTGGGCAGTATACGGATTCGTCGTGCAAATTCAGCAAAGCTCGCTTCTAAAAATTGACAAGGTTAACAATAATAGCCATTAGTTGTGATGCAATAGACCTTATATGCATAATGACGTCACAAGCCTTGATGCCCGCAAGGAATGCTGGTCTTAGTAGTCAACAATTCTAAAAGGCCACTATCGAAATTTTCCCTGGCGTTGACTACTAAGACCAGCATTCCTCGTGGGCATCGAGCCTTGTGACGTCATTATGTATAAGGTCTATTGCATAATCTGACAACCACAGATGTTTCGTACGTCAACACATAGTTTTTCGAGACATGGTCTGGACTCTGGAAACTCAGTAAACTTCAAAGCGGTTATAATAAACTGTGTGTTTATGTTGAGCCGTGCCTTACACCGTGCACATCCTTTGTTTTAGGTTTATTAATATTTAAATAGCATGGTTGAATGACTGACTGAAACGTCGCTATTGGATGATTCGCTCATTATACTGAAATACAATGTGTTCATTGACCGTGCACCGTGCACAAAACTGCATAAACGCGAACAAAAAGATAGAGCAAAGACTTTAGCGGAGTTTCCAAACCATGTTTTGAAAGACTATGGTCAACAGAGAGTTACTGACTGTCAGCCCTGTACAGACAAGCAAGTTTTCCTCACTCGTGTTTACGGCAAAAATTGACAAAGAGTCATGCCAGCTTTTGGACAAGGAAAATTTGTTCATTTGTACAACTGCCAAGGAAAACTTGACAAAAAATACTGCTATGGTTTTGGCAAACAAAAGGTGGGCGACAAAACTTATCACGGAAAACTTGCTTATCTGTACTGAACTTAAGAAATTGGGTAGGGTCCCTGAAATGTAAGGGTGTGGCCTAAACCAAATCTGGGCCATATCCTCGGGCAGAGCAGGTTTCAAGGGTTGTGATTGGGATAAAGAAATATATGTTGAGAGTTGTAGTTTAGATTTGTGTGGAACAAGTACGCGATTTCTCACATATGTACCACCATATTTTACTGTCACCACAGCTGGCTCCTTGCCAATTACATGATGACACCAAAACCTGTCCTGTCTCGTGCAAACATGATTAACCAGTTGAATGGCAGCACTTTCCCCTTGACAAGTAAAATTGTCTGGCGTTCGACACAGTAAAATAATAAAGTACCGCACTTTAGGGCAGGGTTCGAGATTAGAATTTTCCACCTGGTATCCATTAAGGATACCAGCACTTCAAAATTGGTATCCAAACTGAAAAACTGGTGTCCAACTTTGATACGATAACAGAATAGTGAATGCAAGAACACACACAGTATGCCTGGAATCATCATATATTATACAGTACAAAAACAGATTGACTGACGACTAACAAAAGGAATTTATTTCATGGCAAAATAAGTAGAACCATAGTAATGGAAAGATGTTTTAGGTTTTGAAGCAAATTCGTTACTTTCTCACACCTGTTTAATTTTCACGTGATTTATTCCCGATTTATTTTAATATTGGGATAGGTAATAGGACTTCTACATGCGTCTGGGATCTCTTGTTTGTGGCTTATTTATAAGCATAATGGATTTCTTATATCTTCAACGGGGTCTAGAATATAGACCATGCCGTAAATTATTGTATATTATGGTGCACGCATATAATGCGTGTCTTTTGTATGTCAATCCATTGGAGTAGTCCCCCCCCCCCTCCCTACATGCTATAGACAATAGTACTTTTACTTTGTACTTCAAGTATTAGTAAAAAACAATATCTGTTGAATAAATCCTAAAAATACGTAGTTTGAACATGTCAAAGTGTTAAACACCTGAATTTTCGAAAACTGTATCGAGCCACCTTAAGTACGTTTTGCCTCCAGTACTTTTTACTCTTACTCAAGTCGTTTTATTGTTAATTACTTCTACTTTTACTTGAGTACAAATTCAAAGTAATTTAGGCACCACTGTGTACACCAACAATTTCCTTGGTATACAGGTAGGATACCAAGGTTTTAACATCTGATACTAGGATACCGCAAATCTCAAACCCTGGTTAGGGTGCATTGAAAGGCCCAGGTGGACGCCTAACTAATTCGGAGTCTATCACCTATTCAACTGTATTCTAAAAGCTCACTCACACTCAAAGAGTGGAGGTTCAATCTGAGCTTCCCTTGAGTGTCAGTTCTGTTTTTGAATAGCTGGAGGGTTAGTCCCATACCTTACTAAATGACTACTCACCCTCCAGCTATTCAAAAACAGCACTGACACTCAAGGGGAGCTCAGATTGAACCTCCACTCCTTCTTGAGTGTGTGATCATTGTCTATCCGACTAATTAGAACATGATCACATTCACAAAGAATTCTTTCTTTCTTTATATCTTTGGGGAGTACTTTTTACTATACATTTTTTATCAATTACAGGTAATACTCGCAGTGTTTATTGAACTGATTAGTATGTTCTATATAGAGAATACTAACAAGGTTTTGTCTACAGTATCTTTTGTTAAATGCGTCATTAGTATGCTCTATATAGAGAATACTAATAAGGCTTTGTTTAATGCCATTTGCAAGCAACCGTCAACTGCAAACATTTTTTGCACGATTGTTTATGTTTCAAACATGTTTGCCATTATTTTAATGTATCTTTTGTTGAAGGCTTCATCAGTTGAATGCTTCATATCGAGAACACTAATGAATCACATAAACTCACTGTAATCGCTATTAGTATAATTACATAGGCGAGTATTAAAAATTCTCCACGCTGACTGGTTGTCGTGAGGTGATTATAACGTGATAATCACCTAAGCGATTTTTGGCGGCGAAGCCATTTTGTCAATTAAATGATGAAGAAATGTTTATTTTTGATAATATATTTTCCAAATAATCACCTATGAAATTATACTAAAACAATTATTTACCTCAGGCCCGACTTCGTCTCGGTTTTTATTCACCGATAATCACCTCGTCTTCAGCAAATAATTGTTAATTAATCTGTACCATTAAATATGTTAACCACTTACATTGTCTACATTGACGAAGTAGTCCTCAGCCTTGCGTTTCTGTGCAACAGTTTTTACGTCTTGTCTGTCTTGAAGACAGCTGTTCATATTCATCGGCATAATTTGGTCCGAGCAATTACTGCAATTTATAATCAGGGATTAATACAAGCATTCTAGTCTTCTGCTGTTTTTTTGAAGAATTAGTTGCACCAAATAATTAGCGGCTATTTGTACTGGAGCGCAGAGACGGATTTTCATATTTTTGTTCGGGGGGTGGATAAATATCTGGGGAGGGGGGGGGTGCTGCTTGCTTTGGCCGGGCCTGGTGACAATGTCCAGAAAGGCCAAGGAAAATGTTTAACAAAACTTTACTAAATTTCCTGAATATTCTGAAAAATCTGGAGAATTTTATAAAAATCGGGAGACCAGGAGATTGCATGAATTTTCGGGAGACTCCTGGTAATATCGGGAGAGTTGGAATGTCTGTAATATTACTAATAAATTTCTGTTATTGCGGCAGTTTTCCTGTGGCAGCTGAGGCCTCGAAATAAGTGCCGTCATCGGCCACTGACCGGTAAAATTTCAGAGTTTGACCGGCAAATATCGTCGTCTGGCAGACATGCGTGACTGGTAAATTTTTTAATAACAAAGTATGTTAATTAATTAATAAAAAATGGAGCAAATTTTTTATTTCCAATTTTCCAAAGAAGTGTATGTCCGTCTATGGTGCAGGCTAATAAGGGCGGCAACAAATGACACATTTTGTCATACAGATACAATATACCACAAGCATTGTCACCATTGTGCCTAAGGGCTGTTTTCCAGTTAGGCATTTTTCACACATGTGTTGGAAAAGTTTAACTCTTTTAAAATTTCATATAAGTGCAAAGAACCTTAACAAATACACATTAAATCATACCCAAAACTGAATGCTGTCCTTTTATAAATAGAGAATAATACATGGGTGCGCGGAAATACCAGATTTATTTCGAGTGTTGAACATGATATCTCACGAGTGAGCGCAGCGAATGAGTGAGATATCATGTTCAACACGAGAAATAAATCTGGTATTTCCAAGCACCCATGTATTTTTCTGTTTATTATATAAAGGACAGTCTTTGAAAAGCGATAATTTTTACAGAAAAGCGATAATTGAAAAGCGATGATTTTCACATGTGAGATTATCATAAATAATCTCACATGTGAGATTATCACTTTTATCAGTGCTCGAAATCTCTATAAAGCACTATACTTTATATAATAAATTTTGTTATTTAATAAGTAGGATGTAAAGCGACTTCAACTTTTACATGCATAATTATTATGCACATATGAAAAACGTGTAACTGGAATGCAGCCTTAAAGGTGGAGTAATACGGGGGAAAAAATTGCTGCAACTTGCAACAAAATCTGATTTCTATGCATGTTAATGGACCATTTGCATTATAGACTAAATTTTGATCTAGACAAAAATTTCAGCACAGCTTGAAAGAGCATCACAAAATTAGTAATATTCCAAAGTTTCG